TTTCCCACGCGGTCGCAGGCGCTCCCAGGTGAAGTTTATCCTCCCAGGGGCCAAGAGCGACCGGGGCAAGCAAATGCCGCTCAGGTTAAGGGTTCTTCTGTTTGGCGGAGCGCAGCACTGGCGTCGGCCTGAGAACTCGACTGTCGCTCGCTCCTCGCCACCGATAGCGTTCGAGGTCGAGAGCGCGACCCAACGGGGTCGCGCTTCAGTTTAGGGTTTAGGGTTTAGGATTTAGGGTTTAGGGTTTAGGGTTTAGGGCCTGCATTGGCGCATGCGCGCGCTGGCTGCGATCCCCCCCACATCAAGGTTGTTGGGGGGGATCGCTGCCCAAGCCGCGCGCGCTATGAACTTGCACTCCCGCCCCAGACCACCCACAGTAAAGCCCTTTAGGGTTTAGGGTTTCTCCCCCCACCCCCCCTATCAAGGGGGGCTTTCGTGTTGTGTGCGAATGCGAATATTCCGCGGGGAGCACGACGACGCGGTTTTGGCATTGCGTTCTTGGTACGCGCGCAAAGCGCTTTGCGCGGGCGCAAGAGCCAGCGTCGTCGCATGGCCAACAATCTTTGCCGTGGGTTTAGCTGCATTCGGCTGGCTCCCAGTTGGCGCATGGCTTTGCCGAAGAACGGATTCTTCTCCCGCGGGTGTTCATTGCAATCAGAAGGCACAGGAGAGGCCTCAAGGCCAGGCGTCGCCGCATGAGGTTTTGAATTACGGCGTTGGCCTGTCGCAGACGCAGCATTGCCCCTGGTTCCAGTAGGCCTCCTGCATTGGCTTTTGCCGTTGGCCTGGCTGCCCTTGCAGCCGCCGTCGTAGACGGCTGCCGCTGGCGCAGCACATCCACAGGGGTCCGAATTTGCCTTCGGCGTTGGAAAGCAGCACTGCGAGGGCGCTGGCGCGGCAATCCCATGGGCCCCCGTGGGCCTCGAGCGAGCAGCCGCGCCGTCGGGCTCCTCGCTGACGCCGACGCGCACGGCAGTTGTATTCGCCCGCGGCTTTGGGTTTTGCTTTGAGGTCGCCCCCGCTGAAGCGATTGCAAGCATCGACGCAGACGATGTCGGCGCGAGCTTCGGAAGGCGGGAGGAGGGGCGCGAGGGGGTGGGTCTGGCACCCCCTCGCTACGATGCGCGCGCATGGCTGCGGCAGCACGTCCATGGCAGACCCCCTGGAATGCCTTGGGTGAGCTCTCTGGAAGCGCTGGGGGAGCGCCTCGACCTTCCCCAAGGATGGAAGCACGTGGGAGCGTCTGGGAGCGCGAGAGGACACGCAGAGTGCACCGCGAGCGCGAGCCGTGAATTGCCCGTTGGGCTTGACCGTTGGTGTCGCCCCCCCCGCTGCAGCGATTGCATTGTCGACGCAGCCGCCTTCGGCGCGAATGTCGCATGGCTGGAAGGGAAGCGCGAGGGGGCGGGTCTGTCACCCCCTCGCTACGATGCGCGTGCATGGCTGCTGCAGCACCTCCATGGCAGACCTCTTGGAATGCCTTGGGTGAGCTCTCTGGGAGCGCTGAGAGAGCGCCTCGAGGTTTCCCCAGGATGGAAGCACGTGGGAGCGTCTGGGAGCGTGACAGGACACGCAGAGTGCACCGCGAGTGCGGGCCGTGGGTTGTCCATTGGGCAGGACCGTTGGCGTCGCCCCCGCTGAAGCGATATGCATTGTCGACGCAGCCGCCTTCGGCGCGAATGTCGCATGGCTGGAGAGGGAGCGCGAGGGGGTGGGTCTGGCACCCCCTCGCTACGATGCGCGCGCATTGCTGCGGCAGCACCTGCATTGCGGGGGAGCGCCGGGAAGCGCCGCCAGGGAGCGCTGCCGAGTGCTTGCGAATGCATGAAAACGCTTGGGAGCGCCATGGGATTGTTTGAACTGCTTAAGCGCGCTTGGGAACGCCGGGGAGCGCTTGGGACCACCTGTGGGAGCTTGGGAGCGCTCTGGAGCGCATGGGAACGCCCGGCAGCGCTTGGGAGCGTGCTGGGAGCGTGCCGGGAGCGCCTGGGAGCGCGCCGGAGCGCCTGGGAGTGCTTCCGAGCGCCCCGGAGCGCTCGGAGGCGCCAGGGAGCGCATGGGAGCGAGCAAGGAGCGCCTGAGCATGCTGGGAGCGCCTGGGAGCGCGCAGGGAGCGCTTGGGAGTACCTGGGAGCGCTTGGGAGCGCCTGGGAGCGCCTGGGAGCGCCTGGGAGCGTGCCGGGAGCGCCTGAGAGCGCCTGGGAGCGCCATGCGCCTGGGAGCGCTTGGGCGCGCTTGGGAGCGTGCCGGAAGCGCCGTGGAGCGCTTGGGAGCACCTGGGAACGCTCGGGAGCGCTGGGGAGCGCCTGGGAACGCTTGGGAGCACCTGGGAGCGCTTGGAAGCGCTTGGGAGCGCTTAGCGCCTGGGAGCGCGCCAGAGCGCCTGGGAGTGCTTCGGAGCGCCCCGGAGCGCTCGGAGGCGCCGGGGAGCGCTTTCGGAGCGCGCAGGGAGCGCTTGAGCAGGCTGGGAGCGCCTGGGAGCGTGCAGGGAGCGTTTGGGAGTACCTGCAAGCGCTTGGGAGCGCCTGGGAGCTTGCCGGGAGCGCCTGAGAGCGCCTGGGAGCGCCATGCGCCTGGGTGCATTGGGAACGCTTTGGAGCCTGCCGAAAGCGCTGGGGAGCGCTTGGGAGCGCCTGGGAACGCTTGGGAGCGCCTGGGAGCGCCTTGGAACGCTTGGGAGCGCCTGGAAGCGCCTGGGAGCGCCTGGGAGCGCTTGGGAGCGCTTGGGAGCGCCTGGGAGCGCCTGGGAGCGTGCAGGGAGCGCTTGGGAGCGCTTGGGAGCGCCAGGGAGCGCCTGGGAGCGCTTGGGAGCGTGCCGGGAGCGCCTGAGAGCGCCTGGGAGCGCCATGCGCCTGGGAGCGCTTGGGAGCGCTTGGGAGCGCTTGGGAGCGTGCCGGAGGCGCCGTGGAGCGCTTGGGAGCACTTGGGAACGCTCGGGAGCGCTGGGGAGCGCCTGGGAACGCTTGGGAGCGCCTGGGAGCGTTTGGAAGCGCTTGGGAGCGCTTGGGAGCGCCTGGGAGCGCGCCGGAGCGCCTGGGAGTGCTTCGGAGCGCCCCGGAGCGCTCGGAGGCGCCGGGGAGCGTTTCGGAGCGCGCAGGGAGCGCCTGAGCAGGCTGGGAGCGCCTGGGAGCGTGCAGGGAGCGTTTGGGAGTACCTGCAAGCGCTTGGGAGCGCCTGGGAGCTTGCCGGGAGCGCCTGAGAGCGCCTGGGAGCGCCATGCGCCTGGGTGCATTGGGAGCGCTTTGGACCGTGCCGAAAACGCTGGGGAGCGCTTGGGAGCGCCTGGGAACGCTTGGGAGCGCCTGGGAGCGCCTTGGAACGCTTGGGAGCGCCTGGAAGCGCCTGGGAGCGCCTGGGAGCGCTTTGGGAGCGCTTGGGAGCGCCTGGGAGCGCCTGGGAGAGCCTGGGGGCGCCTGGGAGCGCTTGGAAGCGCCTGGGACGTGCGCCAGCCGAATGGACGCCGCATGCTGTATTTTCATGTGGTTTGCGGCTCCGCGGACGGCCGAAAGGGCGCCGCATGGTGTATTTTCATAAGTTTCGAGCCCCAGGGGATGGGACCAATCGTGGCGCACCCTTTGGCTGGGTTTTGGGTTAAGGGTTCTATTCATCTCTCAGAACTCACGAGGCATCCCCGCGGGGGAGCGCATCCTCCTCAGCGCTACGCGCTTCGTCGGTGCGGCGTGCGCGCATGGGCGGACTCGCTGATCGCTCGGCCAGGCGCCACGGGCTTCTGACGATGCACCGCCCGTGGCTTGCAGTTTAGGGTTTAAAACCCTAAATTCCCAAGCACCTCGTTGTGCTTCTGCCCACCCCACCGCGCATCACCGTCGCCGTCTACGAGAGACAGGGCATCTCTGAGATACTTCAGCGGGTTGCCAGACTGGGTCGCCCATGCAGCCGTAGGCTGCCCCTTGGGAGTCGCGATTCAAAGATAAACTCTTCCTGATCCTCGAAGAGTACAACACCCTAAACCCGGGGACCTTTCGTCCTCGGGTGGGGTTCCTACTTCTCCGACACGTAAAAACACGTGTGGGCCGCTCTGCGCGCCTCTAGGCGCTCTTGGGAGCTCTTGGGAGCGCCTGGGAGCGCCTGGGAGCGCCTGGGAGCGCCTGGGAGCGCCTGAGAGCGCGCCGGGAGCGGTTGGGAGCGCCTGGGAGCGCTTGGGAGCGCCGTGCGCCTGGGAGCGCCAGGGAGCGCGGATCGCCTGGGAGCGCCTGGGAGCGCCTTGGAGCGCTTCTGGAGCGCCTGGGAGCGCCTGGGAGCGCCTGGGAGCGTTTGCGAGCGCGTGGAAACGCTTGGGAGCGCCTGGGATCGCCTGGGAGCAGACCGCCGGCGCGCCTAAGTACGGAGCGCGTGTGTCGCCGCAGTTTTCGCGGGTCGACCCCGCGCGACGGGTAGCTCCCGCGCAAACCCGTTTGCGCAGCACCGGCCCGTCCGAGGCAACACCGACAACAGCAAGGGGCGGGGGTCGCAAACTCATCTCTGGGCCGCCTGGAGCCCGAAACCCAAGGGAATAGGACAACGCGGGTGGTCTTGGAAGCTCTTACAGGCTGGGGAGCACCCGGGAAGGCTGCAGAAGCTTCCCAGGAGCACCCCAGCCCCCAGGAGCTTTCCAGGAGCTCTCCGAGAGCTCTCCAGAGCTCCTCCTTCAGCGCGCCTGGGGATCGCTTGGGAGCGCCTGGGAACGCTTGGGAGCGCCCAGGAGCGCCTGGGAGCGCCTGGGTGCGCTTGGGAGGAGCTTGGGGAGCGCCTCGGCGCGCTTCTGGAACGCCTGGGAGCGCTTGGGAGCCCCTGGGAGCGCTTAGGGGCGCTCCTGGAGCGCGTGGGAGCGCTTTCTGTCGCTGTCATTGCTGCAATTGCTGCTACTCGAACGATCATGTTGCCCCTTCCAATTCTCTGAACTCTCCAGGAAGACCCCAGGAAAGCGCAGGAGCATAATGAGATGCGAGGGGGGCGCCAGACCCGCCCCCTCGCGCTCCCCCACCCGCCACATCTCCGAGGATGCCGTGTGTGAGCTCCAGCCAGGATTTTCCCAAGCCGCAGGCACACCCAGAAAGGCTCTAGAGTATAATGCTCGAGATGCCCCCTGCCGCTGCTCTTGCCCCCTGCTTTCCTGCGCCGCCATCGGGCTCGAAGCAAAACTGTGCCAGCGCCTCGCGCTGCCTTGCTACCAGCCCAGCACGCCCCGCACCGAGCAGCCGCTACCGAGCTGGGAGATCATGCCGCCCAAATTCCGACAGGTTGACGTGCTCGCTGCGCTCCGCCGCGGGGAGGCTGAGGAAGTCATTCGTGCCGACCTCCGGGCCCGCGGATGCCCGCCGCCGCGCATCTCCCAGCTGTTCAAGGGCGCGCGCGACATCATGAGGGCGGATGTCGATGCTGAGTATGTGGAGGCGGAGCACATGGCGCTGGCCGTGCGGAAGCGGCCAGCCAGCGCCGTGCCGATGGCAGCGGCGGCGGCGCGGCGCCGCCTGAGCGGAAAGCAGCCCGGCGCGGCTGTCGCGCCGCCCCCGCCGCCGCTCCCGCACCCGCAGAAACGCCCGGCGTCTCAGCCTGGCGCCAGGGCGCCGAAGCAGCCGAGGATCGAGGGCGACGCGGGTATCGACAACGCCGTGGCGGCGGGCCCAGTGGTGAAGAAGCCGGCAAGGTCTCGCGGCTCGTCTGATTTCTGCATCGGCTGGGAGCAGCCGCAGGAGGGCTCCGACGAGGTCATCCAGCAGGACTGCGTGTTCTCCACCTCCACTCCTGGCGCCAAGGTCTTTCGGTGGCGCAGCGGGAAGAAACAGTGTTTCTGCTGCGACGTCGATGCCCTGCCGGAGAAGGTGAAGACAGTCAAGGGCAGGGCGGGCGCCATGCGCTACCTGAGGGCGCTCCACCAGTTCGAGGACAAGACCCCGTACGACCTCTTCAAGGCGAGGGTGGAGAAGGCCGGATTCGAGATCCCCGAGGACCGCGTCAGGCAGCCGAAGCGCGGCCGCAAGCCAACCGAGAAGAAAGTGGCGGACTGGGCCGATGCCAAGGCGAAGCGGCAGACCACCCAGGAGCCGCCCGACCGCAAGCAGAAGCGCAAGTTCCGCCAGGAGGTGCTCGAGGACCAGCGGTACGCGAAGAACCTCGTCTTCCCTGGGTCGGAGAGGCGCGAGCGCGCCTCTGAAGCGGAGCTGGGCGCACCCCTGGACAACGGGATTGGCCTCCCGCCTGCGAAGTACTCCGACTACTCCAAGGCCTTGGAGGCCTGGTGCCTCCGCGGCTCCTGGGGCATGTGCCCGAAGTGCCAGGCGATGCAGCCGCGCGAGTTTTACGAGACGGACCTCAGGCGCGAGCGCAAGCCCGAGCTGACCAAGTCGCAGTGCAAGCTCTGCAACGCAAAGCGCAAGCACTACGTCCCGAAGCCCGAGGACGTCCCGAAGCCGCTGCAGGACCTCACGCCCGAGATCATCAGTGCGCTGAGCCTGCTGGATGTGGACGTCGGCGCGGTGGTCCGCTCCCACGACGCCAAGGGGAAACCCAACGGCTACCGCAAGAAAGTGAAGATGATCCGCTTCTCATGGTCGGAGCACGCCCCGAAGAAGAAGTTCAGGAACGTCCCGCACGCGGATCGCGAGAAGGCGAAGGCCGCCTACGATTACCTGATGGACAGCAAGGAGAGCTGCTACAGGGACTTCAAGATGCAGCGCGAGAAGTTCTTCGACGGCAAGAGCCGCAAGCCCGACGAGCGCCAGCGCAAGCGCCCGATCAACTTCATCGAGCAGGCGCACCAGGGCAGACTAGGGAACCCTGCTCGGGCAACAGGGAGCAACGCTGCCCCGAACACACTGTCCAGTGTGCTCGAGGCTCGATAGGCTTGCCACCCTGTACAACGAGAGGTGCCCCCAGAGTCCGCCCGTAGGTCGGTCTCGAGTGCGCCATCTGGCCCCACCTGTACTGGAAGAAAAAAATGTGCGAGTCGTACGAACGCTACACAGACGAGCGCCGCGAGGAGCGGCGCGCCCGCAAGAAGAGCGGCCGTGGCGCTGCGGCAGAGGACGACGATGACTCATACAGTGGCAGCGACGACGATCACGGCGCGCAGCCCGCGGGGGCAGGCCGCGACCCGCACGATGGCCAGGACAGCGACCAGGAGAGCGACAACGGCGACGGCGACTCCTCGGACTCCGGCAGCGAGCCAGACGACAACGACAGCGACAAAGAGGAAGAGGATGATGCAGGCGAGGCAGAGGGCTCTGGGCGACACAGCATCAAGAAGAGCTTCATGGCCAAGGTCCTCTCGCCGCTGATCGGCTACGGCACGTCCTTCGAGCTGCTCCAGTACGTCTACGACCTGAACCTCTGGAGCACGCTCGGCAGTCGCAAGAACCTCGGCCTCGGTGGCAAGGTACCCATGCGCGTGCTCATGAAGGGCAACTCCTTCAGCCCGCTCTACTGGAAGGAGGTCCACAACGGCCTGATCGACCTGGTCCGCCAGGTGGGCATGCCGAAGATCTTCTGGACAATCTCGCCCTACGAGTACCTCGCACCCTACCACGAGTGGGTCCAGGACGAGATGTCCAAGAGCCTGCGCAAGCGGATGCACCTCCCCGCGGCGGAGAGCCTCCACATGACGCACTCGCTCCTCCAGATCACGCACGGGCTCCTCACGGGCGTCAATAGGACGAGCGACAAGCGGAAGCAAGCTGGCGGCGGCGCGTGGAAGAAACACATCCTGAGCAGCAAGGACGAGGGCGGCAAACCCATCAAGCTCGTCGTCTTCGCGCGCATCGAGTTCCAAGACGGGAGCCGCAAGGCGGGCACCTTCCGCTACCAAGGCAGCGGCCGCCCGCACGCGCACGTGCTCATCTTCGCGGACGAGCTCGAACCCGCGAAGTTGGAGCAGTTCGTCAAGGCGAGCATGCCCGCGGCGGAGGACCTGGCGCTGAAGGGCAAGGTCAAGTGCTCGCAGAAGGACCGCGACGAGGACTGGAAGTGGCCTATCCACGACGGCCCCGAGGGCTGGAACGACGACGACGGCACGCTCAAGCTGAAGCACTCCGCGGAGGACAGGGACGAGGGCGTCCACCGCGCCTTTTTCGTGGACGTCATGGACGGCTTCCCTTGCCACCAAGACCTCCAGGTCTCAGACGGAGAGTCCATGCTGCTTCAGTACGTGGCGAAGTACGCAGCCAAATTCTCCGACTCCTCCTTCGACGAGTGGTTCAACGACGAGGGATCTGCGACCTCGGTGGCGCGCCGCATGGTCAACGAGTACCACCCCTACGAGCCCGAGATGTGGCTCCAGCTCAACGGCCAGAACTTCAAGCAGTGGCACGTCTCCACCGTCAGCAGGGGCAAGCGCGACATCCAGGCGCCTTGGCCGGGCATGGAGACGCCGCCCGCATACGTGGACAGTACTGCGCGGCCAGCCGCACCTGGCGCCGCGCCGACATGCCCCTGCTAGAGTTCCTGCGGAAGACTGGAGACGACGGCCAGATCGTCCACTGGATTCAGAAGCCGTGGCGCGAGGAGGTGCTCGTCGTTGCCTTCGCCAAATACGTCAAGGAGGGCGGCAAGCTGCCATTCCAGAAGTTCCGCGTCGGCGCCACGAAGAAGGAGTTCAAGGCCTTTGCAGGGAGAGAGGAGCAAGGCGCCGACGACTTCCGCGCGTTCGCCAAGTGGCACGTCGAAGAGAAGCTGAACGCGGAGATGAGCGGGCAGGTGCAGATCGACCCGCTCGAGGTGGCCTCGCTCGCAGACTTTGCCAACGACTACCCGATGAACGGCGAGAAGATCGTCGGTGTCGACCACGTCTATCGCCTGAACGATAAGTTCTTCGGCCAGTGGCTGGCGCTGCACGTGCCTTTCTCGAACAGCATGGACGAGCTCCTGGACGCGGACGTCGATCGCCTGGTGCCCAAGAAGTACCGCTGGTTCGCCACGGCGCTGCGGCGCTGCGACGACCACGACCGCGTGCCCGTCGAGCTCCGCGACTTCTGGAGGCTGCCCCACAGGATCAGGAGCGAGATGAAGCAGGAGGCCAGCACCGACGACCACATCGAGGACGTCCAGGAGATGGTCCACGGACAGATGGAACTGGTGGACGAGTACCTGTCGGGCGCACGCAACCGCGCCGAGGAGGAGACAGCCGCGGCGGCTGCGGCGGCGACGAGCGGCCGCCGCGGGGGCGCTGGCCCCGCCGCCCCGCACCAGTTCAACGCCCAGCAGAAGAAGGTGGAGAAGGCCGTCAACAAGGCCGTCGACCGCGCCGTCATCTATAACCACAGCGACAGCGCCTCCGCGGTCGAGAGAGCGGGCGACGATGCCTGGCAGAACAACACGCCGACCATCGTCCTTGGCAAGCCAGGCACGGGCAAGACCACCGTCGTCAAGGAGTGCATCCGCCGCGCCTGCGAGAAGGGCGCCCAGGTCCTCTTCGCGCTGCCCACGGCGCAGCTCGCGAGCCGCATGAAGGAGGCCCTCCGCGGCATCCCGAACGTCTGCGTGGACACCTGCCACGCGGCCTTCAAGTTCGGCCAGCCCGAGTCCGAGACGCTGCACCTCATGAGCTCCTACGACATGGTCGTGGTCGACGAGATCTCGCTCCTCGATATGCCCCACTTCGAGAAGCTCATGAAGATGTGGGCCGCGGCGCAGAAGCTCCCTGCCTTTGTCATCCTGGGCGACAAGTACCAGCTGCCCGCCATTGACGCGGTCAAGAACGGTCGCCCCTGGGAGAGCGCCGCCTGGAAGAAATGCAGAGTGATCACCCTGCACCAGGCCTGGCGCTGCAAAGACCCCGAGTTCCTCAAGGTCCTCGACAAGCTCCGCGTGGACAAACCCAGCAAGAAAATGCTCAGGAGCATGTGCCGCGGCCGCAAAGCCTGGAACTGGGAGCACCCCGACGCGGACGACATCAAGCGCCACCTCGACGAGCATCCAGAGACCGTCATCGTCACGTGCACGCGCCACAAAGCGGAGGAGCTCAACAACCTCGCCGTGGAGGGCCTCTTCGCGGGGCGCAGGCCCATCGCGGTGATCGATGGGGACATCGACATCAACCCCGAGAACTACACCAAGGACGGCTTCCGCGACGACCGCAGGCCCCTTCCAGCCAAGGTGCCGATCTACAGAGGTGCTTGTCTCTACCTCACACAGAACGTGCGCAAGGAGGACGACTACGTGAACGGCATGGCCTGCACCGTCGAGAGGTTCACGCCGAACGGCGACGGCGGCACGCTCCTCGTCCGCACCAAGACGAACCAGCTCCTGCCCATCACCAAGTGGACCAACAAGAAGGTCGATGGCCGCAGCGTGCGCCACTTCCCCATCAGGCTCGGCTACGCGAGCACCATCCACAAGGCAAGGGCACGGGGATGGCAGAGGCAGCGCCCCCCCCCCCTGGCAGACGCGCTCGCTTGTCGGACACCCCGAGCGCGACGCGAGCGAGAGACGAGTCCTCTCGCGCTACGTTCGGGGCGCCCCAGACTGGCGAGCGCCGGCAGAAGGGAACGCGCTGCGTCTGCCAACCCGATCAGGTGCAAGGGGATGAGTTCAAGCACATCACCGTCGTGCTCGACAAGCAGTTCTGCCCCGCGGCGGGCTACACGGCGCTGTCGCGCGTGGAGCGCGCTGCCGACTACAAGCTCGCGGGCACGTTGGCGCCCGAGCACTTCGTGCCCGCCGCCTGGATGGATCCCTCCTGAGCGGGCCCGCAGAACGCGCGCGTGGGGGCCACCGCAGACGCCGCCGACGACACAGGTCCGCGGCGACACGGGCCGCGTGGCGCGCCCAGACACTGTTCTCCACGGCCTCAGCCACCCGCTCAGAACTGCGGCTGCTGCGTGTCGGATATTCCAGCACGAGAGCCGCCTGCAAGACCTCCCCCCCCCTTCCTCCGAAGGGGGGGCGAAGGGGGGGTAGCTGGACCGATAGTTGATGGCCATAGAACGCGGCCGCCAGCATGGAACTTCCCCCCATGAGAAGGGGGGAGCGAGGGGGGTAGAAGAACCCTAAACCCTAAAGGGGTACTTTTGGGTGGGGGGGGGGAACGGGAACGAATAGCAGCCGACCCCCCCAACCTCTTGAAGGAGGGGGGGTCGAGCTGCTTCCGCCCAGCGAGGCCCTAAACCCTAAACCCTAAACCCTAAACCCTAAACCCTAAACCCTAAAAACCCTAAACCCTAAACCCTAAACCCTAAACCCTAAACCCTAAACCCTAAACCCTAAACCCTAAACCCTAAACTGCAAGCCACGGGCGGTGCATCGTCAGAAGCCCGTGGCGTCTGGCCGAGCGCTCAGCGAGCCTGCCCATACAGCGTGCGCCGCACCGACGAAGCGGCGATAGCCGCTGAGGAGGAATTCGCACGCCGCGCGGTGCATCCCCGTGGTGTTCTCCTAAGAAAAGGAACCCCTAACCCTCAGCCCTAGCAAGCGGGTTCGCTGCGGTCCGCTACATCCCCTGGGGCTCCAAACCTATGAAAATACAGCATGCGGTGCCCCCTGGGTGCTCCAAACCTATGAAATTACCGCATGCGGCGCTCCAAGCGCTTCCAAACGCTCCAGGCGCTCCCAAGGACTCTCCAAGCGCTCCCGGCACGCTCCCAAGCGCTCCCTAGCGTTCCCAAGCGCTCCCAGGCGCTCCCAGGCGCTCCCAGGCGCTCCCAGGCGGTCCCAGGGCGTTCCCAAGCGTTCCCAGGCGCTCCCGGCACGCTTCCACGCGCTCCCAGGCGCTCCCAGGCGCTCCCAAGCGCTCCCAAGCGCTCCCAGGCGCTCCCATGCGCTCCCGGCACGCTCCCAGGCGCGTTCCCAGGCGCGCGCTGGCTGCGCTCCCAGGCGCTCCCAGGCGCTCCCAAGCGCTCCCGGCACGCCCCCAAGCGCTTCCCAAGCGCTCGCAGGCGCTCCCAAGCGCTCCCGGCACGCTCCTGGCGCGCCCCCAGGCGCTCGCAGGCGCTCCCAGGCGCTCGCAGGCGCTCCCCAGCGTTCCCAGCGCTGCCACGACTCCGAAGCGCTCCTAAGCGCTCCCTGGCGCTCCCATGTGCTCCCAGGCGCCCAAGCCTTCCCACGCGCTCTGAAGCATTTACAAGCGCTCCAAGGCGCCACGCGGCGCTCCCATGCGCTCCCGCGCGCTCCCGCGCGCTCCCAAGCGTGCCCAGGCGGTTCCAGGCGGCCCCAGGGGGAAGCTCTAGGCGCTCTCCCAGCGCTGCCAGAGGGTCCCCCCAAGGCATTCCACGGGCTCTGCCATGGAGGTGCTGCCGCAGCCATGCGCGCGCATCGTAGCGAGGGGGTGCCAGACCCACCCCCTCGCGCTCCCCCTCCAGCCGTCCGAAGCTCGCGCCGAAGGCGGCTGCGTCGATGATTGCAATCGCTTCAGCGGGGGGGCGACCCCAAAGGCGAAACCCAAAGCCGCGGGCGAATGTAATTGCCGTACGCGTCGCCGTCAGCGAGGAGCCCGACGGCGCAACCACTCGCTCCAGGCCCACGGGAAACCATGGGATTCCCGCGCCAGCGCCTTCGCAGTGCTGCTGTCCAATGCCGAAGGCAAATGCCGGACCCTTGTGGAACTGCTGCGCCAGCGGCAGTTCACCGGCGAAGCTCCACGCCGAAGGTGCAACCGGCTGCCTCATCGACGAGGCGACCTGACGCGCCAGCGCCATGCACCCTGCGCGCGTGCTCGCATCGGCGCGCATTGCTACGGCCGCGGCCGCACGCGCGCATCCCAACATTCACAGCCCAGTGTCGCAACCCAGTGCCGAAGGCACATGCAGCAACGCATGGACATGCTGCGCCAGCGGCAGCCCAACGGCGAAGCTCAACGCCGAAATCGCCAAAGGCTGCCTCTTCGACGAGGCGACGAGCCGACGCGCCTACGTCACGCGCCCTGCGCGCATGCTCAAGTGGATGCGCAGTGCCACGGCCGCGTCGGCGATCGCCTGCGCGCGCCACTTCGACAGCCCCCCGTGATAGGGGGGTTGGGGGGAGAAACCCTAAACCCTAAAAGGCTTCACTCTGGGTGGTCTGGGGCGGGAGTGCGACTAACCGTGGCGCGCGCGGCTTGGGCAGCGATCCCCCCAACAACCTTGATGGGGGGGATCGCAGCCAGCGCGCGCTTGCGCCAATGCAGGCCCTAAACCCTAAACCCTAAACCCTAAACCCTAAACCCTAAACCCTAAACCCTAAACCCTAAACCCTAAACCCTAAACCCTAAACGCCCAGGGCCGCTTGGCCCGTATCCACCCACCCATTTAGGCGGCAAGCGCCCTAACTGGCACCTCGCAGTCAGACTACCTCCCGGCCGAACGTGAATGACAGGCCCTGTCCAGGTTGCGTCTCGGTTGCCGTCAGGCAGGGCCCGCGAGGGCCTTATCTCATTATCAATGATGCGGCTTACGCGCAAGCGATTATCCTGTGCCCGCCTGGGCGATCGTCAAAGAGACTTATAACCCCAAAACATCAACCGAATTCACCGTGGGGTTGGTCTGGCCCTTTCTGGATCACCAACATAAAATCGCTAAAAGGCATGCTTTGCCACTGGCAATTTTTTTTTCGACCTCGAATCCTAAAGTTTTCCAGAGTGGACCTCCTTCTGGCTGGAAAAGACGTTCCCTGGCGATTCGGGCTTCCCTGGGGGTCTCCCAGGGCTCCCCAGACCAACCCCACGGTGAATTGCCGATCGCCCAGGGGCCCAGGGCCCCCTTGGGGGCCAAAAGACGTTTCCTGACGACTCGGGCTTCCCTGGGAGTCTCCCAGGGCCCCCCAGACCAACCCCACGGTGAATTGCCGATCGCCCTGGGGCCCAGGGCTCCCCTGGGGGCCAAAAGACGTTTCCTGACGACTCCGGCTTCCCTGGGAGTCCCAGGACCCCCCAGACCAACCCCACGGTGAATTGCCGATCGCTCAGGGGCCCAGGGGCCCCCTGGAGGCCAAAAGACGTTTCCTCACGACTCGGGCCTCCCTGGGGGTCTCCCAGGACCCCCCAGAAACCCCACGGTGAATTGCCGATCCCCGAAAGGCCCAGGCCCTCTTGGGGGCCAAAAGATGTTTCCTGGCGATTCGGGCCTCCCTGGTGAGCTCCCAAGGCCCCCAGACCAACCCCACGGTGAATTGCCGATCGCCGAAAGGCTCAGGGCCCCCCTGGAGGCCAAAAGATGTCTCCTGGCGACTCGGGCCTCCCTGGGGGGCTCCCAGGACCCCCCAGACCAACCCCGCGGTGAATTGCAGGGGCCCAAGGGCCCATGGCCCCCCTAGAGACCAAAAGACGTTTCCTGGCGACTCGGGCCCCCCTGGAGAGCTCCCAACGCCCCCAGACCAACCCCACGGTGAATTGCTGATCGCCCACGGATTCAGGCCCCCCCTAAATGCCAAAGACGTCTGCTGGCGACTCCGGTCTCCCTGGGGGTCTCCCAGGACCCACCAGACCAACCCCACGGTGAATTGCCGAGCGCGCCAGGGCGGGGCCAAAAGACGTTTCCTAACGATTCTGAGCTTCCTGGGGGAGCTCCCAGGGCACCCCAGACCAACCCCGCAGTGAATTGCAGATCGCCCAAGAGCCCAGGGCCCCCCTAGGAGCCAAAAGACGATCGCCCAGGGGCCCAGGCCCACCTTAGGGGCTAAGAGACGTTTCCTGGCGACTCGGGCCTCCCTGGGGGTCTCCCAGGGCTCCCCAGACCAACCCCACGGTGAATTGCCGATCGCTCAGGGGCCCAGGGCCCCCCTGGGGGCCAGAAAACGTATCCTGGCGACTCGGGGCTCCCTGGGAGAGCTCCCAGGGCCCCCAGACCAACCCCGCGGTGAATTGCCGATCGCCCATGGCAGGCTTCCTCGCGATTTGGGTTTCCCTGGGGGGCTCCCAAGCGCCCCCCAGGAGCCCGCCAGGAGCGCCCAGGGGCACCCCAGGAGCGCTCCCGGAGCCTCCCAGGAGCACTCCAAGAACCCGCCAGGAGCCCCCAGGAGCTCCCCAGGAGCCCCCCAGGAGGCCCTCCAGGAGCCCTCCCAGGAGCTCCCCAGGAGCTCCCCAGGAGCCCCCCAGGAGCCCCCCAGGGCCCCTCCCAGGGCGCGCGCCACGGTGAATTAGCTCCCGCTCGAGGCCTTCCAGGAGCCCCCCCAGAAGCTCCCCAGGAGCCCACCAGGAGCCCCCCAGGCCCCCCCCCAGGGCGCGCGCCACGGTGAATTAGCTCCCGCCCGAGGCCCTCCAGGAGCTATCCCAGGAGCCCACCAGGAGCCCCCCAGGGCCCTCCCCAGGGCACCCCCCCGGGCGCGCGCCACGGTGAATTAGCTCCCGCCCGAGGCCCTCCAGGAACCCCCCCAGGAGCTCCCCAGGAGCCCCCCAGGAGCCCCCCAGGGCCCCCCCCAGGGCGCGCGCCACGGTGAATTAGCTCCTGCCCGAAGCCTTCCAGGAGCCCCCCCAGGAGCTCCCCAGGAGCCCACCAGGAGCCCCCCAGGAGCCACCCAAGGCCTTCCAGGGCGCGCGCCATGGGGAGCGCCCGGGAAGGCGCTCGGGAGATCCCTGCGGGAGCGCGCGGGAAGGCACTCGGGAGGTGCCTGCGGGAGCGCCGGGGAAGGCACTCGGGAGGTCCCTGCGGGAGCGCCCAGGAAGGCACTCGGGAGGTCCTTGCGGGAGCGCCCGGGAAGGCGCTCGGGAGATCCCTGCGGGCGCGGGAAGGTAATCGGGAGGTCCCTGCGGGAGCGCCCGGGAAGGCCCTCGGGAGGTCCCTGCGGGAGCGCCCAGGAAGGCACTCGGCAGGTCCCTGCGGGAGTGCCCAGGAAGGCACTCGGGAGGTCCCTGCGGGAGCGCCCGGGAAGGCACTTCGGAGGTCCCTGCGGGAGCGCCCGGGAAGGCACTCGGGAGGTGCCTGCGGGAGCGCCCGGGAAGGCGCTCGGGAGGTCCCTGCGGGAGCGCGCGGGAAGGCACTCGGGAGGTCCCTGCCGGAGCGCCCGGGAAGGCCCTCGGGAAATCCCTGCGGGAGCGCCCAGGAAGGCACTCGGCGGGTCCCTGCGGGAGCGCCCAGGAAGGCACTCGGGAGGTCCCTGCGGGAGCGCCCGGGAAGGCACTTCGGAGGTCCCTGCGGGAGCGCCCGGGCGGGCCTGGGAGCGCCTGGGAGCGCCTGGGAGCGCCTGGGAGCTCTTGCGAGCGCGTGGAAACGCTCGGGAGCGCCTGGGATCGCTTGGGAGCAGACCGCCGGCGCGCCTAAGTACGGAGCGCGTGTGTCCCCGAAGGTGTTTTGCGTGCGCGCGCTCTGTCGTGGCAGTTTTTGCGGGTCGACCCCGCGCGACGGGTAGCTCCCGCGCAAACCCGTTTGCGCAGCACCGGCCCGTCCGAGGCAACAGCGACAACAGCAAGGGGCGGGGGTCGCAAACTCATCTCTGGGCCGCTTGGAGCCCGAAACCCAAGGGAATAGGACAACGCGGGTGGTCTAGGAAGCTCTTACAGGCTGGGGAGCACCCGGGAAGGCTCAGTGGAGGTGCTTGCGAGAAGAAGCCTACCAGGAGCACCCCAGCCCCCAGGAGCTCGCCAGGAGCTCTCCAGAGCTCCCCAGGAGCCTTCAGCGCGCCTGGGGAGCGCCTGGGAGCGCCGTGGAGCGCTGCTGGGACGCTTGGGAGCGCCTGGGGACGCTTCTGGAGCGCATGGGAGCGCTTGGGGACGCCTGGGAGCGCCTGGGGGCGCCTGGGAGCGCCTGGGAGAGCCTGGGAGCGCCTGGGACCGCCTCGGAGTGCTTCTGGAGCGCCTGGGAGCGCCTGGGAGCGCCTGGGAGCTCTTGCGAGCGCGTGGAAACGCTCGGATCGCCTGGGAGCAGACCGCCGGCGCGCCTAAGTACGGAGCGCGTGTGTCGCCGAAGGTGTTTTGCGTGCGCGCGCTCTGTCGTGGCAGTTTTTGCGGGTCGACCCCGCGCGACGGGTAGCTCCCGCGCAAACTCGTTTGCGAAGCACCGGCCCGTCCGAGGCAACAGCAACAACAGCAAGGGGCGGGGGTCGCAAACTCATCTCTGGGCCGCTTGGAGCCCGAAACCCAAAGGAATAGGACAACGCGGGTGGTCTAGGAAGCTCTTGCAGGCTGGGGAGCACCTGGGAAGGCTCAGTGGAGGTGCTTGCGAGAAGAAGCCTACCAGGAGCACCCCAGCCCCCAGGAGCTCGCCAGGAGCTCTCCAGAGCTCTCCAGGAGCCTTCAGCGCGCCTGGGGAGCGCCTGGGAGCGCATTGGAGCGCATTGGAGCGCTGCTGGAACGCTTGGGAGCGCCTGGGGACGCTTCTGGAGCGCATGGGAGCGCTTGGGGGAGCGCCTGGGATCGCCTGGGAGCGCCTGGGAGCGCTTCTGGAACGCTTTTGGGCGCCTGGGAGTGCTTGGGAAGCTCATAGGAGGCGCCTGCGGGCAACCCTCAGGAGCATCCCAGCTCCCCAGGAGCTGGCTCGGAGCCCTCCAGGACCCCCCAGGAGCTCCCCAGGAGCTCCCCAGGAGCCCTCAGGCTCCCCCAAGGGTTCTATCGCTTCCTAGGCGCCCCCACGAACCCCACAGGAACCCAGCGCCTGGGAGCGCCTGTGAGCATCATTCCGGAGCCTTCTGGTTCAAGCATTTTTGCTGAGATCGTCGCTCACAGCTTATTCCGCGCCCGCTCGCGTGCCATGTGGCCCTGCGTTGTGGCCGTCGCCGTTGGCATCTGGCTGTGGCGCGGCGGCGGTGGCGAGCCCGACGGGCACTGGCACTGGAGTGCAGAGGAGGGCGCGTGGATCTGGCGCTGGGGCTCCTCCTGGTGGATCTACCTCGAGGAGCTCCCGTGGGTCCATTACGCGGACGAGGCGAACCGCTGGCTCGGCGAGGCTTCATGGGGGAATCGAACGCAACCCGATGAAAAACGCATGCCGGAGTGTCGCCGCCGATGGTGTTTCAGTTTCTTTGAGCCGACGTTGTCTGGACATCCTGAGGAGGGCCTTGCGGGCCTGGGTTCATCTCGCCAGAGTGCGTTGGTTCGGGTTGCGTTCCGCCCGCTGCAGGACGGCGCTGGCGCGCCAGGCATGTGGTGGTCCTTCACCACGGGCCTGCCATCGTGCCACATCGGCGGCAGCGTCCGCACGGACCCCAGGGCCGCGGACCCAGCGCACTGGCGTCACTGGGCGGGTCCCAATCCTCACCAGGAGATGGCCCGCTACCGGCAGCAGGACGCGGCTCGGGCCTCCACGTGGCGCGCCACGGCGCGGCTTGCAGCGGCGCGCCTGCCACGGCCCGCGGAGTCCCTCGTCCTGGAACTCCCGGGGGCGCCCGCGGCGTGCTGCTGAGGATCGGGCCACGAAAACTACTGATTCATGTCCCTGGGCCGCGCTTTCCCTGGGCACAGGCGCCGCGGGCGCGCCTTCCTGGCCGAGCCAGTTCGGCGCGGCGCCTGCGCCGCTGCTGGGTTCTGGTTGCGTCTGCCTCGGGAGCAATGAGCATTAGTGGATTTCGGCGCCCTCGAGGAGGACGACAGCTACCTGAGCAGCTGAGCGACGGCAAAGCCCGGCGGCACCGCGATACAGCTGTGGGCGGCGCCCACAAAAACACCGCCGCAGCTGCTGGCAGCCGCCGCCAACGACGACGCAACGACGACCTGCGCTGTCGAGCCTCCATCTGGTCTGGAAGTTCGGCAGCGGGGGGGGGCTTCCGCGCGGCTTGAGCCGACCCTTCGCGCTGTCGCTGGAGGCCCCGAGGCTTTGCAGCAACGCGCGGGAGGGGTCGGCCAGAGCTGCGCGGAAACCTAGGGGGCCATCTCCGTCCGCCCCCACGCGGCGGCCCCCGGGGAAGCGTAGCGACGCGACCTCGACCCGACGCGTCGGGTCGCGTCGCTGCGTTTCGCGAAGGACGGAGTTCGCGCGACTACGAACCCCACGGTGAATGGGCCATTGCCCAAGAGCCCACGGCTCTCTAGGAGAGCTTCTTCCCATCCCACGGGCCTGTTGGGAATCGACCTGTTCGGTGTTCTTTGTCACTCCCATGGTTAACTGCAGAAAAACTGCTCCCCTTGGGCCCTCCACTCAGGAGTCTCGAGAGATCACCGTCAGCGCCCTGAGATGTATCTACCCCTCCCACCCCTGAGACCCTCATGCGTGTAGGGTCCTCGCTTGCGGATATTCAATGGCCCGCTCTGGGCCAGTCGAACCCTGCGCCACCTCCGAACCTGCGCTCTCTCCCTTCCGTAGCCGTCGGCTGAGTCAAGTGTCTCGAACTGCATCCCCGCGGACACCTCTGTCCCTTTGCGCGAGCCCAGGAGTGCTTATAAACTCTCAGCCTTTACCTCGCGACAATGGCCGCGCAGTCGAGCAAGCTCGGCCGCGCCATCGCCATCGGCCTCGGCCTCTACTGCGTCGCGAGCACGGTGTTCTTCTCCTTCCGCCTGGAGATGAGAGCCACCCGCAACATGGCATCGCCGACCGGCAGCCAGCGCGGGCGCGCACGCCTTCTCGTCGAAGTGGAGCACAGCGACACGGACAACGGGCAGAGCAACTACATCTACGAGAACGACAACTACATGGACGACTCCCTCGTGGCTGTGACCACTACAGCGGCCGCCACGGTGACCTCGACGCCCAGTCTCCTCCTGCCGCCCCCGAGTTCTACGGCAGCGCCATTCTTGAGGACCTTTCGGCCTACGACGACGACGACGACGACGACATCGACGTCGATCTCGACGACGACTTCTGCGTCTCACGTGATTGTGGAACCTTCGGCGAACGTGGGGGACCCGATCCTCGTGCTCCACAGGAAATGGTTCGCGGAAGAGGGCGGTAAGAGATACTGGGGGTTGTAAAGCGGTCCCTGGACCTCTCCCAGGGTCACACCAGCACCAGTTTTTCCGAGTGTTCAGTCGTGGCGATAGTGGGTGACCCCGAGGGCAAACTTCGGTGTCTCGAACGGCCCTCCTCTGAGGTTCGATATGATGCTGGAGGGCGCGAAGACGCTGGAGATTCGGCACCAGCGCTACATCGGGAAGCGGCTCGTGGGCGAGAAGGGCCAGATCTGGGGCAGCGTGACGCTCGGCGAGGACACCTTCCAGATCATGAGCGACGCCGAGTGGAACGAGCTGCGCCCGAGGCACAGGTGGCCTGCCGAGAAAGTTCATCTGCCTTACGCGAAGACGTGGGCAATGACCGTGAAGGAAGTCACGCTGTTCAGCTCCACTATCAGGTACCTCATGATCGAAGGCCAGGAAGGCACGGCGACTTACCGGGCAGTCCCAGACGGCTGGGATCCTGACGGGAGGTACAAGAAGGCCGACTACGAGAGGTACATGATCGACCAAGGCCACCCCGCGGGCAAGGGCAGAGGGGCGCAGAAGAGGCGCGCGGCGGCATCTGGCACCGCGCGGAAGCGACCCGCGGCAGCTATGGACGAGGCCGATGCAGCCGCCGCCGTTGCCCCGCCTCGGCAGCCAGACCTGAACGTGCCCGTGCCGCCAGACGGGAGGTGCCTCTCCTACTGCGCGCTCGCCGCCCGCGACACGCGGGCGTGGATGCGTGAGAGGGACGTCAACGGCTTCATCCACGATGACCCCGACAGGGAGGCGAGCGAGCGCGAGAAGGCCAAGGCGCTCGTGGACAGGATCATTGGCGCCATGGAGGACGACGGCCTGCACCAGAAGGCCGCGCGCCTGCGGTTGGCGGGGGACGCAGGGTACCCTGGCGAAGACGAGCTCCCCTTCTACGCCAGGGTCCTCCAGGGGCGCATCGAGCTCGACGACCCCGTGGGCTACCTGCGGAAGCAGAACTACGCGGCGGCCGACGACGTCGTCGACGCGGAGGCACTGGAGATCTACGCGGAGTCCGTGAACGGTCGTGTTGTGCATGCTGCGCCGACCGTTGGCGGTGGCGCGCCCATCCCTGTCATCGAGTTCGGCGAATTTGGCGCGCCGCTGCTGTACAGGGTGGCGTTCCAGATGAAGACTGGTCCCGACGGCCACTCGTCGCCCCACTGGATCCTTGCCTGCTCCTACTACCTGCCAAGGGCTGCCCGACCGCTGCCGAAACCTCGGGCGCAGTTCTACGACCTGGAAGCAGGGGCGTCTGGTGGCAGCGAAGACGAGTCCGACGGGTCGCAGGGCGATGACGTCGACGAGCTGGGCAACGTGTTCGGCCTCATCGACGACGGCGGGGAAGACGACTCCGACGACTCCTCCCGCCGTCGCTTCTGGGAAGACGCGCTGAGGGACCAGGAGGGCACCGCCACGCCCGACGCTGGCGAGGCGGCGCAAGGCACCGACACGCCCGCGGCGCACTCGGAGGCCGAGGAGGCCGCAGGGTCCGACGAGCTCACCGCGGAGGAGAGACGGAAGGCACAGGAGGAGTGGGCCGACCAGCTTATCTCCGAGGGCATGATGCAGCCGTGGGGCGAGGACGAGCTCTTCGAACCCGAGGGCTACGACCCCGACGACGACGAACTGCTGGGCGAGGACGACCTGCCGCTGTTCGACCTGGAGGACGCGCAAGACACGCAGCTACCTGACGCGGGAGGCGAAGGTGATAAGGATGCTGCTGAGGAGCTGCTGTCCAGGGCGGCGCGGAAGCGCCCCGCCAGCAAGGCGCTGCCCGAGCAGGAGGAGAAGCCGAAGCCGAAGAAGCGGCGCTGGGGCAACAACTTGTGCCCTGGTAAGCAAGATGGGGCGCGCTGCGTCTATGCCACAGACCAGCGCCCTGGTGAGCGAGCCCGCGTGCACGCAGACAGGGGCGACGCGCGCTGCATGTTCTGCGACGGTGAAGTCCTCCGCAAGCGGGACTCCGTCCGCAAGGGTCAGGACATCACCAGCGCGCTCAAGAGCCTCATGCAGTACGATCGCCCCGACCTCGTCGACGGCGCCCTCGACTTCATCGCCGCGGTACTCGGCCAGGAGAAGCGCGACTCGTACAAGGCCAACGCCGAACGCGCGCTCCATCGCCAACGGAAGAAGGACAACCCAGTGCCCGCGACCGACCTCCAGAGCGAGTGGCAGGAGGCGCTCAAGCATCGCGTGAGCGTGGTGCCGCGGCAGAAGAAGCAGACGCGCAGGGCCTACCCCACCTGGGTCAGGGACGACAGGAAGTTCCGGCGCAACAAGTTCAAGACCGCCCTGGACGACGACGTCGAGGACTGGGCGGAGCCGCAGGCCGTGGCCTTCACCAAGTGGGCGGAGCTCGCTTCCTGGGGCATGTGCAAGATCTGCAAGCGCCTGGAGAAGAGGTCCTTCGCGCCCGCGGACGTGGCGGCGGCGATGATGCGCCTCCCCGACGCGGAGCGCAAGAAGGGCCGCAAGGCTGGCCAGCGCAGCGCCTGGATCAACAAGTGCAAGTACTGCGCCAGCCCGCCAGAGAAGCGAGTGGGCTACCCCGCCGTCCAGATCGAGGACATCCCCGAGCCGCTGCGCCACCTCAGCGTGGCCGCACTCGAGGCGTTGAGGCCGATGGAGGTGTCTATCGGGCCGCATGCGCGGGCCGCACACGGATACAGGGTCCACACCGACATGATCGGCTTCCGCTGGAAGGCCACCGACGTCCTCACGGCCGTGAGCGAGCTCCCCGAGCGCCACCAGCGCAGGGCCATGGACGCCCTCGAGTACCTCGAGGCGAACGACGACCCCGCCGAGGAGGACTTCTCCAGCTGGGCCACGCTCACGGAATACTACCTGGCCCACCCACAGAAGAGCGCGTACTTCGCCATTATGCGCCTGCACAACAGGTTCCTCCGCAGGAACCGCAATGACCTTTCTCAGAAGAAGCGCCGCCTCGCGATGCGCCTCGTGGAGCAGCTCGGCATCGAGACGGCCCTCTGGCCCCACCTGTACCCGAGGGTGTCCATGTGCGAGACCTACGTCCGCCTGATGGACGAGCGGCGGGTGGTGCGCACGCGGGCCGCGCGACGGGCTGCGCACTTCGACGACGCCGACGCCTCCGCCGACAGCGACGACGCGGAAGCCGACGGCAAGAAGCGCCAGTCGCTCAAGCGCAGCTACACGGCGAAGGTCTTCTCGCCCGTGATCGGCTACGGCGCCGACACCGAGCTCGCCCAGTTCGTCTACGACCTCTGGCTCTGGACGGCGCTGGGGGGCAAGAAGCACGCTGCCAAGGTGCCCATGCGCCTGGCGCTGGCTGGCATGTCCTTCAGCCCCGAGTACTGGCGGACGTACCACTTCGCCCTCATCGACCTGCAGCGCCAGCTTGGCTTTCCGACCCTGTTCGTGACTCTGTCGCCGCTGGAGTGGTCCACGCCGTTCCACGTCTGGGTCGAGGACGAGATGCGGCGGACGCTGCGGTCGCGCACTTGGCTGCCGGCCGCAGAGACCTACCACCTGTCGCACGTGCTCACCCAGGCCATCGTCGGGCTGCTGACTGGCACCCAGGGGAAGGCGCGGAGCGAGGCGAGCGCAGCGTGGACGCAGCACGTACTGGCGGGCAAGGACGCGGAGGGCAAGCCGACGCAGCGCGTGATCACGCAGTTCGCGCGCATCGAGTTCCAGGACGGCAAGCGCAAGCGCGGCGGGCCCAACGCGCGGCACGCCTACCACGGCAGCGGCCGCCCCCACGTCCACTGCCTCGTCTGGCTGGAGAAGGTCGCCACGATCGATCTCCCGAGCAAGGTCTCCGCCACCATCCCAGACGACGAGGAGCAGGAGCAGCTCTACCACATCGTCATGGGCTCCCAGACCTCGACTCACGGCTCCCATCCGTGGCCTGAGCGCAAAGAGGACTCGATCTGGGACGTGCGGGGGAAGACGCTGAGGCTCCACCACACCGCCAGGGACCTGCACCACAAGCTCCGCGCCTACATGCCGGCCGTGATCGCGGGCATGAAGTCCCACATGGACGTGCAGACCTCCGATGGCCGCGGCATGCTCCTGCGCTACGTCTCCTCCTACACCGCCAAGTTCTCCGACCAGTTCTCCTCCGAGTGGCTCAACGACGAGGCCTCCGACTACGCCATCAGCCGCCGCATCCTCACGGAGTTCCACCCGCTCGAGCCCGAGATGTGGCTCCAGCTGGCCGCAGCGGAGTACTCCCAGGTCCTCACGCATGGCACCGTCAAGAACTTCCCCGTGCCCGTGCCGTGGAAGGGCAAAGAGATGCCCGCGGTCGTCGAGCGCTACACGCACAGCGCCTGGCGACCCGACGACATGAGCCTCCTGGAGTACGTGCGGCGCTCCAACAGCAGGGGCGGCGTGCACCGAGCGCTCCGCCTGCGCTACGCCAACCTCCAGAAGGCGAACGACCCCTCCGTGGCCCACGTCGACCTGGAGACCTGGGCCGCACGCGTGCCCATGCGCGGCGAAGTCCTGGTGGCGGCGCGCTCCAACTCCCGCTTCAGCGACGAGTACTACGGCCAGTGGATGCTCCTCCACGTCCCCTTCCGCAGCGTGCATGAGCTCTGGCAGGATGCCGCGGAGCTCGTGCCGACCGGGTACAGGCTGTTCGCCCACTGCCTCCTCCACCGCCCTGACCTCTGGCGGAGCGAGGCATGGCTGCGCTCCGACATGGAGCTGGAGGCCCACCGCGACCCGACCATCGACTCCAACGTGGCGATGATCAAGGCGCACATCACCCTCGTCGACGACTACCTCGAGGGCCGCCTCGTGGTCGGGGAAGACCCCGAGCCGCCGCGACACCACTACGCCTTCGATGGCCGCATTACCACCCTCGAGCCCGAGCAGATACCCGTCGCCGATCTCATCACGAGGCGCTGGCACAGGGCGGTGGAGCTCGCCTGGCCCGACGACTACGAGGATCACAACCACGGCCCGCCCGACGACGAGGACCCGCGCCCCATCGCTGTTCTGGGGCCCGCGGGGAGCGGCAAGTCCTTCCTCATCAAGGTCGTCATGCAGGACGCCATCGCCCAGGGCGCCCGCGTCCTCCTCGCCTGCCCCACGCGCCGACAGGTGGCGCGCTACCGCGAGGACATGCCCGACCTCGACGTCGACAGCATCCACAGGGCCTTCAACGTCTACCTCCCGGAGCAGCAGACGCTCCAGCGCATGCAGGACTTCGACCTCGTTGTCATCGAGGAGATCAGCATGGTCGAGATGTGGATCTTCGAGCGCCTCCTGCGCCTCTGGGACGCGGCCGCGCGGCGCCCTGCGCTCGTCTTCGTCGGCGACTTCCGACAGCTCCGCTGGATGGACAGCCCGCGCGTCCTCGAGCACTGGCGCTGGGCCGACGTCGACGTGAGGGAACTCAAGATCATGCGCCGCTGCAAGTGCCCCATTCTCAAGAAGAAGCTCGAGCTCCTCCGCACGGCCACGCCGAGCAAGCCGCAGCTCGTGGAGATCCGCCAGGACCATCGCGCGCCTTCGGTCGGCCATCGGGATGTGGGCTGGTGGGAGCGCGAGGAGCCCACGGAGTACGAGATCGGCCAGGTCTTCGAGGAGCACCCCACCACGACGTTCGTCACGATCTCCAGGGCCAAGGCGGCGTGGGTCAACCAGGCAGCCTTGCGGCACTTCTACTGGGAGGTCGAACCCCTGGGCACCATCGACGCCGACCCTGAATTCAACCCGCGCAACTTCTACGGCACCAAGCAGGTGAGCTGGGCCAACATGCGCTTGCCCATCTTCGAGGGCATGCGCGTGGGCTTCACCGCCAACATTCGCCCCGAGATCGACTTCGTCAACGGCATCGAAGGCCACGTGATCATGATGGACCACACGGGCGTCTTGGTCAAGACCACCACGGGCCACATGGTCAAGGTGCCGCCCTACACCAACCCCGAGTGGCGCAACGTTTACTACCCGCTGCGACTTGCGTACGCCACCACCCTCATGAAGGTGCAGGGCGATACCCTGAAGCATATGACGCTGTGGATGGACACGCCGGGCGTGGAGGCAGCGGGATACGTGGCATTGTCCCGCGTTCAGCATGACAAGGACTGGAAGTTCGTCGGCTACCTGCAGCAGAAGCACTTCATCCCGGCCAACCTCTGAGCAGCGCGCTCGGCAGGCGCGCTAGCGGGCGCGCGCTCGGGGCTCCGCCCGGACACAGTGGCGGCGCGCACAGGCGCCACCGAAAAGATGTCTAGGACGAAGCAGGGGAAAGGAAACGCACAGACCCCGATAGAAATCTCTGAAGCCGAATGAGGGAAACCGTAAGACTCGCAGGATCCAGTGGCATCTCATAGACTTGCACATGTCGTAGGACCGAACAGTTTCTGCATACTTGTCATCTGGTCTGGAAGCTCGGCGGAGGAGGGGGGGCTTCCGCGCGGCTTTCGCCGACCCCTCGCGCTGTCGCTGGGGGCCCCGAGGCTTTGCAGCAACGCGCGCGAGGGGTCGGCCAGAGCTGCGCGGAAACCTAGGGGGCCATCTCCGTCCGCCTCCACGCGGCGGCCCCCGGGGAAGCGTAGCGACGCGACCTCGACCCGACTCGTCGGATCGCGTCGCTGCGTTTCGCGAAGGACGGAGCTCGCGCGACTACGAACTCCAAAGTGTGATACACAAAGCATTGTATGTCGTACACATGAGAAAGATCGCCAAACCGACTGGAGTCGTGGAGCCCTAAGGGAAAGAGAACCTCGAGTACCGAATGAACCCTAAACCCTAATAGAGACAGCCGTGGGTGGTTCGCCGCCCTAACGGGCGCGGGGTGGGAATGTGAAAAGGAGAGCTGGCCCCGTAGCCGAAACAGGATTCCGCTCAACATGATATCACCTCAACACGATTACCCCACCCCCACTCCATTTTATGGGTGGGGGTGATCTTACACGATTGATGATCAGCAAGCGCTGACAGAGGACACCCTAAACCCTAAACCCTAAACCCTAAACCCTAAACCCTAAACCCTAAACCCTAAACCCTAAACCCTAAACAAACCCGCCCAGGGCCGCTTGGCCCGTATCCACCCACCCATTTAGGCGGCAAGCGCCCTAACTGGCACCTCGCAGTCAGACTACCTCACGGCCGTACGTGAATATCAGGCCAGCCCAAGCAGAGTCTCGGTTGCCGTCAGGCATGGCCCGCGAGGGCCTTATCTCATTATCAATGATGCGGCTTACGCGCAAGCGATTATCCTGTGCCCGCCTGGGCGATCGTCAAAGAGACTTATAACCCCAAAACATCAACCGAATTCACCGTGGCGTTGGTCGGCCTCCTTCTGGAGCGCCAGCATGAAATCTGCAAGCGAGCATGTTTCAGCAGTGGCAATTTTTTTTTCGACCTCGTATCCTAAAGTTTCTCATGTGATCCCCGATCGGCTGGCTGGCAAAGACGTCTCCTGGCGAAGCGGCCCTCCGCAAGGTGGCCCTTCGGGCACCCCAGACCAACGCCGCGGTGAATTAGCGCCCGCCCATGGGGCCCAGAGCGTCCCTGGTGGCCCAAAGACGTTTCCTGGCGACTCGGGCCCCCGTGGGGGGCTCCCAGGGCACCCCAGACCAACGCCACGGTGAATTGCCGATCGCCCAAGGGCCCAGTACCCCCGCAGGAGCGGAAAGACGTCTCCTGGCGACTCGGGCCTCCCTGGGGGGTGGTCCCAGGGCACCCCAGACCAACGCCACGGTGAATTCGCTCCCGCCCAGGAGCCCAGGGGCCCCCTAGGGGCGGAAAGACGTCTCCTGGCGACTCGGGCCTCCCTGGCAAGCTCCCAGGGCACCCCAGACCAACGCCACGGTGAATTAGCTCCCGCCCAGGGGCCCAAGGGCCTCCTAGGGGCGGAAAGACGTCTCCAGGCAGGGGCCACCTGGGGGGCTCCCAGGGCACCCCAGACCAACGCCACGGTGAATTGCCGATCGCCCAGGGGCCCAGGGCTCTCCTAGGGCCGGAAAGACGTCTCCTGGCGACTCGGGCTTCTCTGGGGGGCTCCCAGGGCACCCCAGACCAACGCCACGGTGAATTAGCTCCCGCCCAAGGGCCCAGGGCTCCCCTATGTGCTTCCCAGGGCAGGAGCCCACCAGGGCATTCCCAGGGCGCGCGCCACGGTGAATTAGCTCCCGCCCGAAGCCCTCCAGGAGCCCTCCCAGGAGTTCCCCAGGAGCCCACCAGGAGCCCCCCAGGAGCCCCCCAGGGCCCACCAGGACGCGCGCCACAGGAGCCCCCCAGGAGCCCACCAGGGCACCCCCAGGGCGCGCGCCACGGTGAATTAGCTCGCGCCCGAGGCACTCCAGGAGCCCCCCCAGGAGCTCCCCAGGAGCCCCCTCAGGAGCTCCCAGGAGCCCACCAGGGCTCCCCCAGGGCGCGCGCCACGGTGAATTAGCTCCCGCCCGAGGCCCTCCCAGGGCACCCCAGGCGCACGTCACGGTGATTTGGCAGCCGCCCAGGGCCCTCCCAGGGCACCCCAGGCGCACGTCACGGTGATTTGGCAGCCGCCCAGAGCACAAGGCCTTCCCAGGGCCCTCCCAGGGCTCCCCAGGGCACCCCAGGCGCACGTCACAATGATTTGGCAGCCGCCCAGGGCCCTCCCAGGGCCCTCCCAGGGCACCCCAGGCGCACGTCACGGTGATTTGGCAGCCGCCCAGAGCACAGGGCCCTCCCAGGGCCCTCCCAGGGCCCTCCCAGGGCCCTGCCAGGCGCACGTCACGGTGGTTTGGCAGCCGCCCAGGGCCTTCCCAGTGCCCTCCCAGGGCACCCCAGGCGCACGTCACGGTGATTTGGCAGCCGCCCAGAGCACAGGCCCCCCCCAGGAGCCCACCAGGAGCCCCCCAGGGCTCCCCCAGGGCGCGCGCCACGGTGAATTAGCTTCCGCCCGAGACCCTCCAGGAGCCTCCCCAGGAGCTTCCCAAGAGCCCCCCATGAGCACCCCAGGAGCCCCCCAGGGCCCACCCAGGGCGCGCGCCACTGTGAATTAGCTCCGCCCCAAGCCCTCCAGGAGCCACCCAGGACCTCCAGAACCCTTCAGGAGCTCTTCAGGAGCCACCCAGGAGCTCCCCAGGAGCCCTCCTGAGGGCCCCCCAAGGCTCTCTCAACGCCTTCCAGGGCACCCCAAGCGCCATTCACAGTGACTCAGCTGCCGCCCAGCGCCCAGGGCCCTCCCCGGCGCGCCAATTGGATTTCATAGTTCAAGAGGAGCGGTATCGGCGGAGCGAGCGAAGCGAGCGGAGGCGGCGCCACAAGCGCACAATCAAACGCCCTCGCGGCGTTTTACCCCAAACTCTTTCCCCCGACGCAAAGCGTCAACCCTAAACCCAGGATTGCGCATATCTTAAGACCTAGGAGGGTATCTGTGTACGTGTGATACACGAAGCATTGTATGTCGAACCCATGAGCAAGATCGCCAAACCGATTGGAATCGTGGAGCCCTAAGAGAAAGAGAACCCCGATTACCGAATGAACCCTAAACCCTAATAGAGAAAGCCGTGGGTGGTTCGCCGCCCTAACGGGCGCGGGGTGGGAATGTGAAAAGGGGAGCTGGCCCCGTAGCCGAAACATGATTCCGCTCAACATGATATCACCACAACACGACTACCCCACCCCCACTCCATTTTATGGGTGGGGGTGGTCTTACACGATTGATGATCAGCAAGCGCTGACAGAGGACACCCTAAACCCTAAACCCTAAACCCTAAACCCTAAACCCTAAACCCTAAAAGCTAAGAGCCTATAAATATTTAAACCCTAAAACCCCTTGAGCGGCCCTTGAAGCGCCCTAATTCCTAAACCCTCATTCCATGCGTGCAGGCACACGGATCGTGCCCCTCCCGCCTGGCGGCTAATTCCTAAACCCCCATCGCATGCGTGCAGGCGCACAGATCGTGCCCTTCCCGCATGGCGGCTAATTCCTAAACCCCCATCGCATGCGTGCAGGCACACGGATCGTGCTCCTCCCGCATGGCGGCTAATTCCTAAACCCGCATTCCATGCGTGCAGGCACACGGATCGTGCCCCTCCCGCAAGGCGGCTAATTCCTAAACCCCCATCGCATGCGTGCAGGCACACAGATAATGCCCCTCCCGCATTGCGGCTAATTCCTAAACCCCCATCGCATGCGTGCAGGCACACGGATCGTGCCCCTCCCGCATGGCGGCTAATTCCTAAGCCCGCACTCCATGCGTGCAGGCACACGGATCGTGCCCCTCTCGCATGGCGGCCCATTCCTAAACTCCCATCCCATGGGCGCCCTCGCACGGATTCTGCTTCTCCCGCGGATCCCGAATCTCCGTTCCTAAAAATCGAGGCGCGGAGCGCAAGAGGGCGAAACAATTTCAAACATGCCCCAGGGCGTCGGTTCTCGCTTACGTCATGGCGCTGCACTCGGAGCCCGAATTTCCGTCCCCAAAAATGGACGGGGTGCAACAGGGCGAAATAGTATTCAAACGAGCTCCAGGGAATCGTTTCTCGCTTACGTCCTGGCGCTGCACACGGAGCCCGAATTTGCGTCCCCAAAAATTGACGGGGCGCAAGAGGGCGAACCAATACCCAAACGGGCTCCAGGGAATCGGTTTTCGCCTACGTCCTGGCGCGGGCCGGCGCGCGTCGCCGTCATCCTGATCGCATGATTGCGCATCGACTCCGCGTCGCCGATGAATTGAGTTCTGTATGTATTGGGTCATGGGTGGGTGGGATACATCCAGAAGGCTTCGAGTTGAGCTAGTGGACCCTAAACCCTAAACCCTAAACCCTAAACCCTAAACCCTAAACCCTAAATTCCCAAGCACCTCGTTGTGCTTCTGCCCACCCCACCGCGCATCACCGTCGCCGTCTACGAGAGACAGGGCATCTCTGAGATGCTTGAGCATGTTGCCCGAGTGGGTCGCCTTGGCAGCTTTTGCTGCTGCCCTCCCCCTCTTCTGGGGAGTCGCGCTTCAATGATAAACCTCCCCTGATCCTCAACGATTATAACACCCTCAACCCAAAGACCTTTTGCTTGTAAGCGCCGGGGGGCGCCTGGGGGCGCCTGCCCAGAACTCCATTCCCGGGCCACATTTTGGATGTCCGGAGCCAACTGTAGGCCACTTCGTGCTCTTCGATTTCCCAGAACTCCATTC